CTATTGAGAACTGTACGTATTCTAAACATTGCAAAGGGTACTTTATCTATTAAGTCATTAAACACGATATTTTATAAATGTTTGACTTATTTATTGTGCTGTTTTACTCGAATGAGTTTTTGGTTAACAAGTCTTGTGGCTGTCGAGCGTGTCTATAGTATTATGTATCCAACTAGTCAATGGTTAAAAAAACCCAAAAAATAGCACGACGTATTTAACTTCTGATCATTATAGATATTCTGGTATTCGATATACATGAACTGGTATTTCATCGTTTAGCACCTGATCAAAAATATTCTGAGAATGGCTCATGGTGTGTTACATTCTGTACGTTCTATTTGACTGCACATGAATAACTCAGATTAATTATCGTTTTTTTTTGGAAAAAAAATTACAAGTCCCAGACGTTCAAATCACGTACTTCCAAACGTCCTAACTCGATTTACAACCAGCTTTTCTTTAGAAATAGCCAAGTAATCATTTGCATATATTATACGATTTTGTGGGATTGATTCTGAGTTTTCGGCACTTTAATAAAGACCTATACAATTTTGAATGTGATATTCTCAAAGAGCTTGTAGTTTTGCATATATCTAGCAGTTTTTCACTTTCCCAAAATGAGATTTTCGAGTTTCGGGGAAGAGCATAATGGACAATCATAGAAAAAAAGCGGATTTTCTTCTACATTTTTGGGCGCAATCATGGTTATATTGGTATTCGGCGTGAAATGCTGACTCTAACCATCAATGTGGGCTCAATCACTATGGCACTTTTCGACTTTTATTTACATACTGATTGAGTAAGAAAGAGTAGAAATACTTGAATCAACAATGAGATGTTTGCATGAGGGAAAAAAATCTGAAACTGATGTATGATTCATTAATGTTAATGTGGATTATTCTGCTCCTGCATCACGACTGCGCAAGAGGAGAGAAAAAATAAATGATATGCAGGAATTATTTTCAACGAAATACTTCAATTTTTTCTTTTCTATATAAACCTGCTTTTGTTCTTCTTGTTGATCGTTCTATTTGGCTCTGACAAATCTAAACGAACACAAAAGAACACACCGAAGAAATTTGTTTATCAAGAAGCATCTGAAATATGATATGCGAAATAACAGGTAAAATACTAGGTCCATGTTTGTAAAGATTTACTAACATTATACATTTTTGTCCTTAGCAATATTTTTGAGTTGAATAGTATCATCATTAACTCCTCTATCATTATCCTATGTGTTGGTTTGTGTAATATGCATAGGCGTAGGATCCATTAAATCCAATTGTTGATCGACGAATAAGCACGCAATCTTTATGAAACTAGCATGGTTTTTCCGAAATTCAAATAGCAATCTATTGATGTATGAGGGCATATGTTGTCTGACATGTCGTCTACAACACTGGATATAAGCGACATATTGAAAACTCATGATTCGGAAGTTATATACGCATTTCTTGAAGCCTTAGCACTCCTTTGCCGTTAGGTTTGGGACTGTCAGAAATGAATGAAAACATAGGTTATCGACCACGCTGAATCAAGTGGCAATCTTAGTTTTAGAACAAAGTGCAACAATTGAGTGAAAACCTATAGTAGGTGAAATAACCCATTTTTGATTATTTCCATTAAAAACTTCATGGAAAACTATCTAGAAACCAAAGTATTTTCTGTTGGTTTTTTCAACATTTATTGAGCTTTGCAGTATGCTCTAGATAAAACAGAGTGTTTTCTGACATTCTGAAGTTAGTTTGATAAATACTGACTGAGTTATGAATGTTTTAATTTTTGATGAGCATAATCAAAAATGGGTTATTTCACCTACTATAGGTTTTCACTCGATCGTTGCATTTTGTCCTGGATATTAACATTGCCACGTGCCATTTTGAGAACCCAGTAACACTAAACTTTTGCCTGTATAAACCAGTAGTGAATCTTGAATTTTTTATGGAATATATAGTAAAAAATCGAACAATCCGTACAAAGTCGATGTATACTCTGGGACACTTTCAAAAGAATCACCCTCCTGCAGAAAGGTTTAGTGGCAAAAATAACGCAAAAACAAAACTTAAAACGAGCTACCCAACAGCCCTCTTTCGGGCTGTAGGTAAGACAAAGGGTTTCTCGAATCAGAATATCTTAGTTTTTGGAAGTCATAAGCAAAAACTCCCATAGTTCTTGTTTTTGGCAAAAATTGGTGCACTGTTTTCTTCGAAAGTGATCTTTTTCAGTTAAACAAACATGAATTGAGCTTAGATTTGTTTATTATTATCGAAAATCGCCTTTTTTTGGACTTTGGATGAAAACTGAGTGAAAAAAGACCGAAAGCAACTTTTCAAGTACAGTTGAAAAATGAGGTACTTTTTAGTAAATTGTTTATACGGAGGGTGGCCAACGATATTCGATCATTTTGAAATCAGTTTTTTATTGCTTAAGTGGCCAGAAAGTCTTTTACAAAAAATCTTTTTTCAACATCCGACGTTAAGTGAGCGCCAGTTAAGTCAGTGAGTACACCTTTTGGCCCGAGTGCCAACTCTAAAAGTAAATTGCTTCGTGTTTCGTCCTGAGCAGAAAGCGAATGGTTTTGTAATATATATTTGGAACGAGTAGGCAAAACTGCGTAAGATAATATGTGAACGCACTCTAGACGATATATCGTTAAGATTTGCGATCACGTTCTTTGAGAGCCATTCAAAGTCAAGGAAAACTTTTATTTTTACTTCTTTTTCGAAAGCAAGGGTCCTTCAAAACTGCGAGATACTAGAAAAGTTCACGGTGAAGTTCTGCACAAACCCGTATAAAATGGGCTCAAAATATGCTAATTTTCTTAACCGGTGGTGTCCTTTTCACGTTGAAAAATTACCGAGATTTACACCCCAAACTGAAAATCAAGTAAAAATTCGGAATCAGCATGGTCGATAACCTATAGCCTATAGATTTCGGTCAAATAGTGCTTTATCAGTTGCGGATGTTTCTCATCAGTTTGTTTCTAATTATCTATTAACCTTACTTTGTTTTCTATTTATTAAAATCTGACATTCCATGCAGTGAAATAAGTTACGTTGAGGAAACGAGCTTCCAGAGTTGTATAGTTTCTAAAATTATCCGAGCATGTGCAACGAGTTTAAAAACATTTTGTGTGCGACGGCAGTCTTCTAGAGTAAGGTGTTTTCTCAAAATGAGACATCGCTTTTAGTCCATGACCGATGTTTAAAACTCTGATCCAGGCTATTATCCGTTCCAGAAGTCAAGGCACTCGCTTGCTTTTTGAACAACTTTTGATACGAACAAGATGAAGGTCTGCGGTTTTCGCCATTCGAAAAAGGAGACTTGGATGCATGTTTTCATAACCAACATCATTTTCAGACGATTTTTTTGAAATAGGTTTCCTAGGAGATCCTTAGAAAACTACGTCATCTGTAAAGATTCTCTAATAGGATTGTATTGCTTTTCTCTTATGGACTGATAGCTAAGGGTGTCTTCTTCAAAATGGGAGTAAAGTGAGACCTTGATTTTCCACGGTTCGGACGCCGTATCGAATTTTCTACAAGTCCAAGGACTGGCATCCAGTAACTATTGATAGCCTTAAAAACTAATGGACTCTAGGTAATCGACCATGCTGAGTTTTGTGGAAATATTTATTTTTAGAAAAAGTTTTAAAAATCTACCGGAAAAGCCAGTTTTACGAAAATTAGGATTTTCAGCCTGTTTTCACCTAATATTAAAACATTCATTATTCACTTAAAAAGCATCCGAACTAGCTCAAAACTTCAGAATGTAGGGTATTTAAGCTATTCTATATCCTGTTGATAGGAGATCTCAAAATAAATTTTACAGAGCTCTTAGATTTTCCAAAAGGGTTTCTGGAAAACCTATTAACAAAAATATGCTTTTAGATCTTTTCGATCTTTTAATCACATTTAGCGGACAACAGTAATCATATCCTGAGAATTTGAGCTGGTTCGGATGCTTTTTAAATGAATAATAAATTTTTTAATATTAGGTGAAAACAGGCTGAAAATCCTAATTTTCGTAAAACTGGCTTTTCCGGTAGATTTTTAAAACTTTTTCTAAAAATAAATATTTCCACAAAACTCTCACTTTACTCCCATTTTGAAGAAGACACCCCTAGCTATCAGTCCATAGGAAAAAAGCAATACAATCCTATTAGAGAATCTTTACAGATGACGTAGTTTTCTAAGGATCTCCTAGGAAACCTATTTCAAAAAAATCGTCTGAAAATGATGTTGGTTATGAAAACATGCATCCAAGTCTCCTTTTTCGAATGGCGAAAACCGCAGACCTTCATCTTGTTCGTATCAAAAGTTGTTCAAAAAGCAGGCGAGCGCCTTGACTTCTGGGACAGATAGTAATCCACCGGTCTTTACCGGTTCTCGGCCGCGTCCACAAAAAGAAAGAGAACGGGTAAAGACCGGTTGACCGGTTCCAACTCTGCTCCCGGCCAGTCCTGAGGACTCGACACGATCGCTGTGATTTGTAGCAGCGACTCACGGAGTCGCTACGTGATCATTGGACAAGTCGCTATTCTTGTACCAATTATACTTGAAACCGATTTCTGTCGTCACGACTGTCACTGCTGGCTCGCGAACAAAAAACAAAATTGCGATCGCGACAAAGCGACGTCGCGGATAATGAGGCGTAATAATGTACCTGAGGATATATATATATATAGAGTACGATAACACGAAGAAGAGAAAGGTGAGAAAAAACACAATATGATGATGCAGGAACGAAAAGGTGGAGAGAAAATCATAGCAAAGAAACAAACATTTTATGCATGTGTATATCCACATAAGAGGAGAAAAGAAGCAAGAAGGTGGTCTGGTGAGAGTGTGATCATCTCACAGATACACTTTTTATTCATTCATTCTGTTGTCTGTCAGAGACACATTCGAAAACACGCGTGGTATTACATGTACACATTGCACTGTCATTATTATTGCGATATTATTTCACTTTTCTGAATTTGGTACTGTGGCACAGCAATGTTCTTATCAACTATTTTTCTAGCTAGTCTACTGCTCCTACTTCTATTGATCTACAAATATTTTACCTCTTCTAACTACAACAAAGACCATGAACGAATACCCGGTCTTCGACCGCAACTTTTGTTTGGAAATTTACTTCAAACAAATGTCCTGAAAGGTGAAGCATTTGTAAACGTCTGGTCTCAATTTCAAAAGCAGTATGGTGATATTTTTACTTACTATTTTGGTAATGAACGCGCAATTGTTTTCTCTAAAGCCGAACATGCACAGTATATCTATCATAATCGACATATCTATGATATGTGTGAGTTATTTGCCAAATATTTTCAATTGACAACACCAAACGGTTTGATTTGTATCAATGGCGAGAAATATAAACGACATGCACGTGTTGTACTACCAGCGTTGAAACGAAACAAGGTTACACCACAATTAGAGACGATCGTAAAATGTACAGATAAATTAATTGCAAACTGGAAACGTGACAATGATTACAATAGCAAACTTGTGAAAAATATTATCAGCCAAAGTCAACAGCTTTTAATTAATATTATTCTCTTTATTGGATTTGATGCAGATTATTTGAGTGATCAAGAGTTAGAAAGATTAGCTAATGCAGCAAATACATTCATTCAATATTCGGCTTTTGCTATTAGTAGTGGTATGCCTAAGACTATCTGCCATTACTATCTAAAATTCGATCGTAAATATCATCAAGCGCGACATACGCTTAAAGAGTATGCAGATCAAATTATTAAAAAAGAAGGTGAACGATACTCTAACACTCAGCCGATGACGACGAACAAAAAGTTAATATCATTACTCATCTCATCTGCGGATGAAACAACAGAACACGGTCTTACCAAGGAGGAATTATTAGATGAAATTCTCTTGTTTATTGAAGCTGGGTTTGAATGGGACCGTTGATAAAGAATGTTTGTTCCTTGACGAACGGAGCCGAATTAAATCATACAAGCAAATGTGCGGAGCTCGATTATGAATACTTCCAAACGACGTCGACTGCCCTTTCATGGTTCATCTTTTACATGAGTAAGAATCCCACAGTTCAAGAGAAAATGAAAAGTGAACTGACATCTTATTCGATTACACGTGAAACTCAGTTAACACTTGAAACAGTAGATCAGCTGGAATACGTCGATTGTGTACTGAAAGAAACACTTCGTTATGCACCGATTGCCGATGCCACTGGTCGTACAGTTGTAGCGGAATCTGATATTATCGACGGAGTGAAAGTACAAAAAGGTGAAACAATACTAATCGCAATACAAAATATTCATCGTGATCCAAGATATTGGAATATTGATCCACAACTCTTCTATCCCGAACGGTTTTTAAACGAAGATAAAAATCATCACCCGTACGCTTTTCTTCCATTTGGCGCTGGACACCGTCAATGTGCTGGTCAAGACTTAGCTCGATTTGAACTGAAAATAATTGTTGTTAGATTGATGCAATTTATTACATTTGTAGATGGAGGTGAAATTGAAAATTCAGGTGGTTTGTCACAGAGAATAACGTGTACACCGAAAAATATGGCTGTCTATGTAAAATTTGATAAAGACTGACTTGTATTTCTTTGAAAAATATATCAGAACACTATATTGCAACATTCTATTAGCATGGTGGTGATGCTGTTAGTCTGTTTTGCTGTTTGCTTTTCTGCTATTCTTCTCAATTTTTTTCGCATCAATAACAATATTCCTCGTTAGGCGCCTGTTGAACAATATCGAGAATACTAAGCAGTATACTGAGATTTCTTTATAACGATGACAAATTAATGAAACTTTCTTCTTCATCCTGTGCCGCTTTGACATACTTTGCCTAGTAAAGTGGCTGTCATCATTTTAGCCCACTTTTTGTTTTCGCTAAAGTACAAAACCCACAATATACGTATAGCAAACTCTTATGCTTTTTCGCATTAGTGTTAAAGCAGTGTTTTAAAAAACGGAAGGTGTTTTTGCACTCTAAATGCAAAACGGAAATGCGTTTGGTATAGTTGCAAATGCGAAATCCCTTTTTTTTGTACTATACGTTTTTTTTTGGGAGTATGGTCGATAAGATTTAATAGGTTCTCTTAAACATTCTGGCTATACCATCCCCGATGACGGACTGGCTATTGGCACTCCTAGGAGTGTCAATAAGGAGCTATTGGCACTCCCAAGAGTGTCAACAAGAAGCTATTGGTACTTCCGGGAGTGGGAACTAGGAGCTATTTCCGTCGCCAGGCAAACTTAGTGTAAAAGCTATGTCGGAAAAGTGGTTTATTCTCCGGAGCCGAGCATTTTAAATTAAATGTTGTTCTTTTAAAGCTTTTTTAATTTTTGAGTTGTTTGTAAATGAGTTCTAATTCGCGAGAAGTATAAGTTATTTCAAGTTTCTCTCCAGTGCGATATGGTTAAATGAAAAAACAGTGTCACCGGCGTAAGTTCAAATAGTGCACGTATATTCATTCTATTTTCCGAAAAATGATACCTGTCTTTTTTTCAAAGAAAACGCTGTGTGTTAGGAGTTATACGGTTGCAAAGTTTACAAATCAGCGTTGACCTTGATGACACTCCCTGGGAGTGCCAATAGCTTCTAGTTGACACTCCCGGAAGTGCCAATAGACTCACTCAATAAATGATCATTATTTCTGGACGAACACTTTGTCTTTTTCATCAAAAAGTAATGAATTTCTTGCATGCATACAAGCGTCAATCACTCCCACTTCGTATCATCCGCATTTGTTACTTCCACTGTAAGAAAGTGATTAGGCATACAACAGTTTTGGTTAGGTGATATAAATTATTCTGTCTGTACACTCTTTCTCGAAAATCTGTTCACGCTCAGCTTTTGAAAAGAAATTCTACATAACCTTTTTTCCCACAACGCACGATGATTTTTGGACACGCATCGGATTTTTAATCCGTTAACCGGAACCGACCATAACTGATATAACCGTGAAAAGTACTTTTATTTGCACATATTCTTGAAAATACCTTTGAAAAAGTATGAAGGAAATATCTAATCTGAGAATGTGCAGTATACAAGTCTGAACATTTTTTCTCTAGGATGAATATTTCAGATGTGTCCTACATACTGTTTCAAACGTATTTTCAAGAATATGTGCAAATAAAAATACTTGTTCTCGGTGAGAAACTCATTCGCGTAAAACAGCACAATAAGTTAAACATTTACAAAATATCGTGTTTAATGGGTTAATAGATAAAATACCATGTGCAATATTTAGAATACGTACAGTTCTCAATAGTAAGACAAATAAAGCAAGTTCCCTCAAGTCAAGTTCTAAAGGGTGGTCTTCTATTGCAGTCAAATTTTGTCACCTACTAGTAGTCCAATAGTTACCTCACGTACTTGAAGTCTGTCCCCAATTAGAAGTAGTTTTTAGCGAATTTATTTTGAAAATTTCTTCATAGGTATATGTCATTTTCCGATTTTTTTCGCGGCCATAATAGAAAACCACTGGCCTTGTAGGAGTTTGAAGACCTTGGTCTTCTATTTGGCTTGTCACAATGTCTTCTAGATGCTTCAAGTAAAAGTGGAAGCATTAATGGTGTTTTTATACATGGAACAGGTATTTTACGTACAGACTATTTAAGCTGAACCAGCTTAAACAAAATATCATCTTTGAGGGCAAAATCGATTTTATATGGATCTTTCTTCAGCTGTTCTATTTTTAATTTAATGTTACAATCTTTACCTTGTTCGATTTTCAGCTATTTGATGTCTCAGACGTAGAATTTAAATCGATGG